TTTCGGCCGTCTGATAGTCATATAGTAGAAGAAACGAAGTGAAGTGCGACACACTCGGTCCTTAGTAGGCAGTCGGATATCACGGTGGCACTAATAATGCTATGATTTTTCGAAGACCACGCGAGCCTTTTGTAGCCGTGCTGAGGGCTGAATCGATTTCCCAAGTAAGTGAAGTAGTCAATGCCTTCACTACCATTTATCGGATGAATTACCGATGCAAGACCAGTCTTGGAGCAACAATTTGTATTGCGATAGTGATAAACACATTTTAAACGTTCTTAAATTGCCGAAGCTTTTCAGAAGACTATGTATCTTTACCAAACAAGATTACTGAAGCTTTTCGCGCAAGGTCAATCCATGTAAAGTCAGACACTGAGAGTAGTTTCTATAAGCGCAACTATAATAATACAAAAGGTTGATATTCTTGTCAGACACCACTCGATTTTGATAACTGGCCTAACAGCTCTAGTATGTTCACAGGTGTTCGGGTGGAGAGTAATGTACTTACCTGACACCTTTTGGTGAGAAACATTGCTTTAGGACCTCTTGATCGACGAAGTCGAATGCCGACTGCAAGTCAAGAACAGCTGGTGTTAGCTGCCAATAGGTGAATCTGTATTCTGGAACCTGCAGAAGGACAAATATCAGGTCAGCACACATACCAATAGATCTCAAGTCTGCTTGATTTTCTCGCGTTCTCTGTTTCTACGCTACAGTTACGCCTCTGATAATTATGCAATCTAGACGCTATGTTAAACAAACTGATTCCCCTGTAGTTATCACAAAATGAAATTCTCACCTTTCCGGAAGACTGGGACAATCAGTGATCGAGACCAGTCAGCGAGAATATTATCTGACTTCCATACACAGCCAACATTTAAGCAGATCTGTCCTGTTATCCCCGACCACCGTCGTTAAATATTTCTGGTACTAGTTTGTCTGGTCCTGATGCTCTTCCTCGTTTAAGATTACTTACAGCTTTCTCGACTTTTGTAAGTAATGCGGGTCCTATTTCGGTGATCTACTCAGGATCCAAATGGATAGAGGGCAATAGAAAAGTAGACAGAGACCAGTTGGACCGTTCCTTGGAGAGTTTCATCCTTCTTTTCAGTTATCTTTCCTGTAAGTCGCAGACCCATTCTTTTCCACAGTAGTCTTTCGGACTAGCCACTGACCAAATCGCCCTAGTTTCTTTGATAAGTTTGAAAAACTGTCTGTTGTTGTGCCATATCCCCATGACCTTTTCCAACCCCTTCACCTTCTTTCCCATCACTGTCGGACGTCATTTTGGACTTTTCGTCAGTCTACACTTGAGTTGACTCCACTCCTCATAGTGCTTGAAACCTGAAGGAATGTTTATGCATACAGATTAGTCCAGTAGCTGCTCAGATCCATTCACCCTTTCTCACCTGTTTCTGAGTCAGCTGCGGCCTTTAAGACTACTTTACATAAGACTGAAGATGACGTCAGGCTTCTTCTAGATCCGATAGCTTTCTAACCTATTCCTCATTGAAATCAGCCTGTCATAATCGAACTGCACTAAAAATGATCTTGTTTTTTCTAGTTTTTCTACGTCTTTCTAGGCATTCTCTAATCATGCATGATCACTATTCAAATACGTGCTATTAAAAGAGCGAGAATCTTCAACTGACTATCTGCAGAAATAATTAATAACAATATGGTTAATCTACGTCGGATATTGAGTTGATGTTAGTGAACGCCGCATCAGATAGTGTCTCTTGTAGGAATGCTGGTATATTGTTTTAAATTACTGGTTAAATATTCATCCTTTGTGTTAGAGTTTATATGAACCCTTTCCTCCATGTGATACGTACAATCAACATGATAGCAATGCAAGTAGTTAGTTAAATGTTTTTCATGTATCCGTCTGAACGTGTCATAATGCCGCTAAAGCTACACCTTATCTCTAGCAAGTTGATCGACTTAAAAGAGATAATCTGGCGATAACTGTTTATAACAATTGCCATTTAATCATTTTAACTGGCGGGAAATTATGCATCCAGAAAAATTATCAATTGACCAAGCAAGTATTCAATTGACGTTTAACACTTACTGCAACTACTGGGCTGCTCATATAGAAATTTAACGCCAAAAAAATAGCTATGGCATGTTTTTCCTTTCGACCGACGATAAAATGAAAGATAAATGGTACTCAATATTCAGAAATTGTTTCATTTTCGCACAACCTGTATACATCCTCAAAGTAACAAAATGACCACTCAAATTAACATTTAAGTGGTTCAAGTGATTACACACTAGACAAGCGGAACCAGTGGTTGAGGACTGTAGTTGATATGGCTCAGAACCGATGTCAGTGGCGCCGATGTATACACACATTATTCTCGTCTTAACAACGCTATACCGAATCTCACCATTTTCTCATTCTTCCTTTCTCTCTTTTCGTACTTTATATTTCTTTTGACTGAATTTTCTTATCTTCATGTTGCATTTCACTGCCTTTTCACTTGATGTACTGACATGAGCTATGGCAATTCAGACCGTTACGCAGTAATACCTGGTCCTATATTGATATTGATGATGATGATGATGAAACTGCGTCGAACTGCTCAACCTCTGTTGGCAAATGGGATTTTATGCGCGTGCCTTGATACTCTTTAAATATTCATTGTGTTAAAGTTCGGTTAGTGACTATCAATTGAATACAGGACCCACATTTCGTCCTTCTTGGGAATTGTTTTGTGGATGTGCTTGAACCCAGTGAGTGACGTTATTCCCACCTAAGAAATTAAATTTGTTTTTAGACTTCTCCTCCTCTGTGAAGCCGATTCTTTCAAATGCTTGGTTGATTAGTCTGAACCTGTTTTCTACTTTTTCCTCCTTGAGAATTGTGAACATGTTGTCAGAATACCGAATCTAAATGTTTTGTTTGATAAGAGGGATGACTAGTGATTCCAGCATTTGGTCCTCATATTGACGGCCCCCTTTCTTTTAGTTTAATTGTCAATCTCTTTATTGAATTATAAAGTAGATTGTGAGGCAAGACTGACCAACTTTGTTAGGTTTGTAACAGTAAGTTTCACATAGTGAGAAAGGTTTGGCTCGTTCTTAAGTAGAATATCCAGTGTCTTCTGTGCTAGATTCTAGACGGTTGAATTGAAGAGTAAAATCACATGAAACGAAACCCTCCTTTTATCACTGTTCATCTATAAATCTTTTATTTTGTCCAGAAAATCAGTTGCCAAGCTGACTAATTGTTCACTTTTTTTGATGAGGTGGTTTGGTGTTTTGCATATTTCTTTCGATAGATTGAGTGGTGTCCCAGGTAATGAAACTGTTTATGGTGTTGGAATATCTGTTTGATATATCTTGAGTCGACCGTAGAACCTTTATAGGGTTGGTTCGTTTATCTTCATCCCCCGTTGTTCTTTGATTGTGATTTATCCAGCTTTTAATAAATCCCTCAGATTTCTTTGGATCTGGTTGTCCAGTTGTTTGAATGAATTTTGGTTAGGTGGTTGGTAACCACTGCCATAGATAAATTCTTGTGCCTTTTCGACAATGTCTATCTTGTTCATGACCACGGTAGTATTAAAATTGTTTTGTTAGCCTTTAGCGATTCTAGTGCATTTTCTTGTTTTTGTGTTTAGCGGATGGTTTCCTTTGATTTTCACTAGAGATACTGTCGATTGAAATTATTCATGTCGTTGCTTAACATGTAATCTAAGGTTTTCAAAGTAAGCCCAGAGAAGCACAGAAATCTGGTTTGTTTTTATTCCTAGTCTTGTAGTTCATTCCATTCTGAGTTAAATCGTACTTCGTCGTAGATATTGGACGTTCTCAAAGATTCACTAACCATCCATCCTTTAATTCCTTCTCTCCTTGTCGCGAAAGTTTGAGTGGTTTGTCTGTCTTTCAGTTTCTCCCCACTTCCTCGCCTTCGGTTTTTTTGTAATATTGATGGTTTGTTAATTCGCACATGACATCCGCCCTGATGGTTGGTTCAAACGTTAGCTGTGGAGTCGCTATTATACTGCTTCATTTAGTTAGTCTGCCATGTACATATGAGATCAATAGTCGCGGCACGTTTACACCAATTTTTCTCGTACAATCTATCTGGGAGGATAGTTGATGGTGGTCTATACTTAAGGCAAAATGTTCCGGCCTAAATATTTGTATAGTTAAAGAAGCTGCTCACAAGTGAAAGCCCTCTGGCCAGCAAAGTCCCCCATTTCAGAACCTCATTCTGCCTAGATGATAAATGACACTCCGCTTCTCATTATCTCTCTTTTTTTAAGGTATAGTAATTGGTAAATGGTTTTATGCATTTCATGTTGCAGTTATTTTTAAAATATTCCGTCTTCATAATTTAGCAGTGGCTGTACACTTTTCATTTCTTTTAATTATACAACACAAAACAGAGCTAAAGGAAAGTAAGACATCACTCTTTTGAAGTTATTACGACAGGCTTGGTTTTGGAGAATAATAAAATGAAACAGTACTTGCACTCGTTTATGAGATAGCGAACTGATAAATCTTCTATATAAATGCTTGAATATTGTCAGCATATCCAGTATGACAGACTGGGAAAAGTACACTTCTAATTTCTACAACTAAGAATAACCATCTAACTTCTTATGATGCAAGTCTAACCCCCTAAATGGCACTAATTACCCCAGGTGACTTCTAGTTTAGCTGTACAAATGAAAGTTATTCAATCTTATTGAATGAACCTTTCATTTTCAGGTTAAGTGACCTCATCAGCTGTGTATAGCATATTGTTTATCGGAAGTATAACCAAGTGGTTGCTCTTTGAACGCCTAACCTTTGTAGAGATGTCTGTTGCTTCAGCCAACCACTTATTTCATTTAGAATGCTTGTTCCTATTCAAAAAGGTTTTTATTTCCAGATTTACATGAAAATTATCAAAACGATTTTATCACAATCCTTTCATGAAATGAAGTAATTTTTTTAAAAAGATGTGACGTCCAACTGGAAATACTGATTGTATTTCTTTTGAATTAATTTGTAAATTGAATTGGACAAGTAAATTCTTCCGACGTTATTAGTTTGAATTTGTATTTACTTGATGTAATGAAGGTCATTATATCTTGTCGAATTTGATCAATTAGGAGGAGTATCTTGGATGCTTCATTCTTTTTTCAAAAACAGAAGATTAAGTAATCATAAGATAAATGTTATTTGGGCTTAAGTAAAACTGAAGTTGAGTTCACTACTGAATTATGTGAATATTTAAATATTATTCAATAAGTTTCGCTCGATACATAAGAAAGGGTAAAATTTATGTTGATCATAGTACTTGATCAGTGTCAAATGGAAATTCATATATTTGAATAATTCAGGTCCACTGAATCTCAGAATTAATTGTTAAAGCAACGATAATACCATAGGCTTTTTGAACCCTTTATGATAGTTCACATGTCAAACAACCTATGTGTTTTGTATATTTGGTAGGGCTTAGGAATGGAACGCAGAATGCACGTTTCACGGTGTTCCGAACTCCGTTACTGGATGTATGTACATCCGTGTATTGTTTTTCCCACTGAAATTCCAACCTAGCACCCATAGCTTTAATTTTCATTGCATTAACCACTGAGTTATGATAATCGTATCTTACTAAGCAGACGTCGAATGTTACTGTATTTGATTGTCATATTTTGAACTGATAGGATGGAGTCTGAAATTCGCTGTTGACATTCGGGCATGTTGTACGGATACCTCAGTATCTTCGAAACGGTGAGATGTATTAGGATGAGGGCACATCCAGGCAGAAACAGGATCCCTGGGCTTCACTACTGTATATTTGTGAATAATAAGCGTTTTACCACAGGCAGCATCAGACAGGTATTAAGTCTATTTGAAGCACATAGGCACTGTGTTAGGCGTTTGAAGTTAACTGCAAATAGAAGGCGTAGACTATAAGTCAGTTTATACTTATCTTCTGAATGGTTTCAAAGGTGGAGAAACCATTTTTCCAAAATGATTTGAAAATTCTACACTTAGCAATGATACGTAGCGATAAGAAGGCAGCCAATAGAGGAGTTTTCAAGTCATGATCAGATCATGTTCAGGTCATGATTTATGCATGCGCTGACATGAGAATCTGACTGGAGTAATTCGACCTCGTACAAGAAATCTGATTAATTTATTTATGGCTTCACTTTCTGAGAGTTTTGTAAGTACATATGTCATGTATTTGTCTAATAAAGTTGTTGTTGTCGCTCTTCTTGCAGTCACAGGCCGTCTTGTCTTCTTATTTTTCCGCAGCTCAGTGAAGCAGAAGATACTGAGGGAGGTCAGTCGTAAAGGTATTCGGTTGAAGTGTCTATTAAGTCTCACTATTCATTATACCCACGCGCACAACCCCACCACTCGGACACAACAAGCAACTGTGCTAAAAAGAACCATTAATCTATCCACCATTTTGACACCTACGTTCAATGAACTTTATTTGTGATTTCAAGCGCTACTTACGGTTCTACATTCCATTGATACCTATAAGTTGCTAAGTGGTTACAAGAATTCATAATCAAGAGAAATATTATCAGTTAGACGTGTAGATGAGCATACAGGACATGAGTGAATGAATTAGATAGTAAAGCCGGATTAAACTCTAACTAGAACATTATTCGTAAACTGGACACTCGATGAAAAACGTTTAGGCTGGTTAACTGTGATACCTACTAACTACTTAAAGTGAAGCAGTAAAGTCTAAGATTCTCTGAATATGGATTACGTTAAATCCGTCTACATTTTTAGCTGATCTCATGTCAATGTTCTGTTACTGATACAGGATAAATGTCCAAGCATGGATAGAGAAATGACAAGATTAAGACACTGGAGTCATATCGTCCTCACCACCAAAATGACGCACCCTAATATGGAACTTGGCAAAAACGTGCAGTGATTCAAGTTGAAACTGCACAATCACGCATTAAGATATATACTGAGGTGAACAAAAAAAAGTAGACTGAGATGACAAATTAACCCTTCAAGTTCTAAGGACTTTGAAGATGATAAATAGGGAATAAGCTTGATACTTGTAATATATATATATATATATATATATATATATATATATATATATATATATATATATATATATATATATATATGCATTACCAAGTCCCTAAGGTGTAATTTTCAAAAGTCTTGGAATAAATATCTTAGATTAGCTGTTAACGGTTTCTCTGATTAGTGCCTCGTTACGACGTAGCCACGCATAATTTTATTGTGACAATTCTAACTAAACTAAATTCCCCATCGTGATACATGATTACTGACAAGCGAAACATACACTGAATTGCATGAAGAAAACACCGGTAAAGATATGAAAATTTCGCGTTTTCAGACCTCAAACTTCTGGTGCACATTGGAATATCATTAGACTATTCTTAATACATTTAAAATATTTTAAAACAGGAGTTTCGTATAAATCCTCAGTGCTAGTGCAGCTTACTTCAAATTGTTGCGAAGTCATTATGTTCGGAAAATGCATATCCTGTAGCCAGAGAAGAGGATAAAGAACTCTCCGAAAATAATCCGAATATATTTTTTCAGATATTCTATATCCTTCTAGAAAGTAACAAACAAGGAAGGTTAAGTTATATGCTTCCTAAAAGTAACTTTACGATTTCACTTTTCACGTACATAATATCGTAAAGCTCAAATGTTAGCATGCAATTGTTCGAATGAGTTAGATATCTGATGAACAGAACATAAGTGACGTGACGGGGATCACTATGAGCGTTTTTGCTACTTGAGATCTTATATTGATTGACACCTCTTGGTCACACAAATTATGAAAGACAATATCTAGTGGAAGCAACTGAGAGGGGAATTCGATTTTGCCTTTCAATACATAAAACACAACTGAATTGCTACAGCAACAAAAAGTATTCACCTGTTTCGACTGACTTTCTTTTTATGTAGTACAGCCTTAGAAGGGACAGAAAGAAATCAAAAATAAACTGAATGGTGCAGTTGATACGGCCAAGTTTTTCCAGTTACTCTTAATAGGCAGAATGCAACACATCTAGGAAATTTGGCTGCACTTTTAGTTTGTCATATTTGAACACATACAATGATAAAACATTCTTAAAGCAGGTGCAACTGAATTACATATTTTAAGATGATAAGTCCCTTTTTTGACAGTGGAGCAAACTTGCTTGACACGCTAGGTTCTCAGTGAATAATCGTCATATTAGATATAGCCTGAATGTGTCTGTAAAATTCTCCAGTTTGAACCCAATACTTTTGATTTCACCGTTATAGTTCACATTTTAACTCAATCAAGTCCCTAAGGTAAGTTTATTTTTATTCATTCGAAAATGAATAATGGCAATCATAAAATTTTCTCAAATAAAAATAAAAGGTTTTTTTAAACAATATTCACATTACATTCCCTACCAATTAGTCTATTACATTTAGCATTATTCAAAAGTCTTTGCAGATATCTTATTGTGGAATATAGCTGTTTGGGCAGAGCGCCACCTTCAAGTTTAAAAGCTCTTTGACTGTAAGTGCATCTTGGTGTTCTGACTGTGCTCCGGCTCACGCGGTTGTCTCTTATCTTTCTTGTGAAATACCCATTAGATGACAATGTATTGCGTATGTACACAAAGGTGTGTACATTTCACTACAATGAAAGCATATAACTTTTTCTCAAATTACTAAAAAGAACTGCCTGAAACGAAAATTACTACTAATCTACTCAGTAAGTTTATTAAAATATGGATTAAAATTGCAGCCGGGAATTTCACAAGTGCAGAAAACTTGTTATGGACTAAAAAGTATCAGATAGGAAACTGTTGTGAGATATTTGGGTAAGAGGATAACTAAGTAACTTATATTTTTAGAAAACACCTCAACAATAGTATGGAACATCAAATGTGAATTACCTTTTTGTTTGCTGGAATTTCTTTTAAACGATCTTGCCAAGAAACCTGTTATTTCAGATGTGAAAATGAAAACAACTTAAAGATATGTAAATTTGCATGATGTATACAGGATTAGTGTGATTGTTCTCAAGGCAATCCTGCTTATTTAATTGACAGTTTGAATGCTAATCTGTATATACTAGTTCATGGGTTCAGCATGCTGAAATTCAACTCAGTCTAAAGTGTACGGTCTCACAAAAAGATGAGTAGGGAATAACAAGGAAAATGGCTAGTTCTGCAGTAAAAAATGTCTAAACTTCTACTGAGGTGAATGCTGAATATCTCTGCAATGTTCATTTTATTTATTGCAAGAGCATCATCTGACGTCAATAAGAAGTGACTTCTCCCATAGCAGTCAGCTAAACAACTAATGAGTTTCTGTATCGGTTCAAAAAGCACGCTTACAGTTATAGTGTTGAAAACTTTAAATTATCCGGATCTTTTCTGAATCAAGTCTAAGGGTTAAACTTCGAAAAGACATTTTTGTTGATTCACTTCATGACCTAGCTTGCTAGCGAATTGAATGGTATCAAATGATTTCTTGATAAGTCGGTTAAAATATTCCTAGCCAAAATAACGCCTAAGTTTTAAACGATAAAGTTTGAATATCCACAGGAATGTTGATTAGAACATGTCAGCCTTGGTTGGTGGAGATATCTTGGCGTATTAGGATGTTAATTGAAAATCAGCATTTATTTATGTTATACCACTGAATCTAAGTGAGTTACTATTAAATTCTCACAAGTGTACTGCTAACCAGCTCTAGTCTATAATTTATCAGCTATCCAATGTTCCAGCTCTTTGATAGTTCCCCAGTGGACTCCTGTCCGTCATAAAAGCTACTTTAAACCAATAAATTCTGACAAACCAATAACCAAATATAATTTGTTCTTTCTGTAGTTTGGTGCTGATGATGTTGGCTAGAATCCCAGTGAAAGCTTCATACAGGTCACAAGACAACATAACGAATATCACCCTGTTGAACTATTAATATTCTCTACAATTTATTTACCTGTTGTTCTGCCTTTAATTTCAACTTTGACAGGTGGAAACTTAAAAGAGATCATGTGTGATTCATCAATGAGGATTAAACAAACCGAAGTGAGAACATTCACATATACCATTGAATATCAGATGCGAAACTACACAACAAAACGACAAGATATCGCATAAATGACATTACATACTGCTTCAGGCATTCTTTTCGATATCTTATAGTATGCAAAAATCACAGAGTGACTGACTGAATATCTGACTGCTTGCTCGATTAAATGCCTAACTGGCTGACTGGCCGAGTGATAATCGTGAGGAGAGAATGACTTCTGGGACGGCGAAATGTATGTTAGTGAAAGTGTGATGCGATTGATTTAATTTGGTTGTTACTAAATGTCAGGCAGTGTGAAGCAAGTGAGCTGTCAACACAGGTGAATATGGAGAAGTCACAAGGAAGTGAACCACCAACTCAATTTACTAATGGTGAGTCTATGGGAAATAAGATCATGGTTATATACGTTCTACCATTATATCATGTGCTTCAGTGTATACATCACTACTCAGATCATATCACTGGACTATTAATTATATGAAAAACACAAACAAGATGTTTACCAACGATCGTCATCTAAATCCAGGAAATAAAAGCTGTTTAAGAGCGGGTATTCAATACAGAGCAAAAAACTAACCACCAAATAAGCATACTATCTTTGATAAGACGCAAGAACGTATACTTAAATATGTTGCAGTTAACAAAGTGACATTAATCATCACATTCTCAGTCTCATTTTTACCATTTTAATATACTTACGCGTAGGCTCTCAATAAGCAGTGGACAGTCAGCAACAACTGGGAAAAGAGCAACTTCTGGTGGAACATGACGTAAAATAAAGCGATCCTTTTCATTAGATCCACGAAAACCAGGAAAGATACTCGCTAAGAAATCTCGATGATAACTCATAAATGGTACATAGCTCATCAGACCAATTAGAACATCGGGAAGAGAACTATAAGTTAATGTAAATAATTCGTGAAAAGTTAGAAACCACTCACTGTATATACATACTTTGAAGACAAATCAAACTTATATATTTATTCCAGTAAAATCATTGAGCCACTACTGACCTTTAAAGAATGTTCATTGGAAATAGTCATATCGTAACCACTAAATATTTCTTGAAAACGCTAAGTTATTAGGTCAATATTTTAACACAGCCATATGGGATACCGCACAACAATATGTTCAAAAATTCAAAACTGAAAGTTATATTCGCCACTAAATGCCCGATTGTAATTAAAATCATACTATAGGATGATCAGTTTGCCAATGATTTACAAATTGCACGGTCCACGTTGACATTTCTCACAGCCGAGTAGTTTTTCAACTCTGGAAATCACCCAACCAAGATCGCAGTGTGTGATCTGACACAAAAGTCCCATGAACTAAGTAAATACGCTACTACCGAACAACGTGAGTAGTTATCTAACACTCAGGTTGATCTGGGGAATTTGTCTGGGTACACCATTGATGAGCTCGGCTCCGAACAAGACCTAAACACTGGACTGTCCAGTGTTTAGGTCACTCTGATCTGGCTGGTGAAATCTACAGATTAGCAAGAGTGGTTTATAACTACTCGAGTTGTTCACTAGTAGTATATTTCACTAGAATCAAACCATACTTTAAATAATCCTTGTTTCTTTGCTGAACTATGCATCAATATCGATACATTTTCCAGCTGTTATAAATAGATTCTTGACGTCATTGAATGCTCTTTAAAGACTGCTTCCTCAGCATAATCATTCTATATAGGACAGCTCGAAACACCCTAATATTGTTTTACATGAAACCTGAACGTTTATTTGAAGGTTTTATGAGAAATATTAAAAAATGATGTCCACTAACATGCTTACATAATACTCTGTTTTTTCCAAATATCGAGTCTTCTCAATGTAGTAATTTACTAAACCGATAAGTGTTCATTATACATTTTTCTATCTGTCACTTATCAGATTGGTCAAAGAGGGGTAATTTCAGCCGACTGAAGTTTTTCAGGAATATTACATTTTTGTTTCTTTAGCAGCGGCAGTACAACGAACGAAAACTCCCGCTACGGATTTATTCAGTAAACGGTTAAAATAGCTTAAAAACACGAGACAGTAGCATCATCGCAGCTCATTACTAAGCAAATATACTGAAATCTCATAAATTTAGGTTATTAGTACACCTCTATGTCAAAATAAGATAACCTGTCTAAACGATGGGATAGTAAACACCTAAATACTATTTGAAATTTCTAGCGCAGCTTCTTAAAAATTACTGATTTACCATAGTAGGGAACCATTGGTACGCTCAGCATTTCTAAGACAGATGAATAGTGAAACAGCTTCATGTATTTCAGGAAAACATCATTTGAATTAGCATACATTTCACACCAAAATGACTACAAGTGAAGTATATTTAACGGATGAAATTTAGTATAAGGTATTTTTTCAAAAATTAGCAACAATTAACCAAATGTTGAAGACTAAGTTACATTGTTACTGGATGGGGGTTAACATGTTAATCAACATTACAAGATATCAATAGCTAACTTGAAATTTTTTGAGATTCACACTTAGATTATACTGCTGTGTGATCTAAATGAATTATTCAACAGAATGGTGTTCAGAAGACTAAAAGTAGTAACTTGTTTTAATATATGTACAATCAAATATGTTGTCACGTGTCAGCTGTTGATTAACGCAGAGAATATCAGAAGGAACAGTTGTTTTTCGTGAGCGACTTCAGTGCAGTCAAGAAATTTACCCAATGCACTCGGTCATTTCAGCCTTATTCTTCAGTTGTTTAGCTGTATATAATAATAAAATCTCTACTTAATAATCACTTAATTTCAAGTTAAGAAATGAATCCTTAAAATATCCAGTCATAATAACAACTAATTTTCACCTCAAATTCTCATAATTTTAAATGAAGACAATGATTACTGCACGATCATGACTATGCTTTGACAAAGGAAGGTAACAACTGTAGAGTATCCAACATCATTTATTGAATAAGATGGTATTTAGATATGGGAAGCACGTTTTCAAATAAGTTTGGTCAGTAAAGGCCCGATTTAGTCGTGCAGTGGATTTATATCCTTCTCTTTTCTTATAGCTTAAGTAAGGTAACTATTAAGGTTCAATAAACATCTAAAAATTCAGAAGTTTTTTATTTACTTTAAATCTAGAATACCAATGGGCTGATTAGTCTTTTAGATAAACACTCCGTTATGCAATATATCGTCATAACTGATATGATTTCGCTGCTCAGAGATATATGATTAACCGCTTTATATTGATGAATTCCCTCAAAGCCTTGTATATTTATGTCAGCCAAAACTTTATCAAGCTACTGAGGTTATTTAAGTTGTCATTGAAACTAATAACTCAAGCAATTTTATCACAGATTTCTACTAACTACTTTTCGCTCAACTCCATAAAAAGTGGAACATAAAGTTGAATGATGAAATGTACTAAATTATTCATTTGAATTAGGGAAAATATTACTGCCGGTTACCGGCAAATTGTATTCATGCATTACGTTTTAACTTTTTCATAAAAAGAATATTTACAAACACTTACTCCAATTTATCCTGTTGTTCTTTATTAGGTTGACTAAATCGAATAGTTAATAGAGCTGTTTTGTTGAAAAGCAAATTTTGCATACGAGTTTTCAAACTCACTGAAAAGGAGAATTACATTCTTTTAATGCATACACGTGAATGCATTTACTTATTAAGATGTTAACAGAATGAAGTGTTAAAAATAGTGTACACAAAAATGAACTTTATGGACTGATTACTTGGTAACAGTAACTACTAAGAAAATCCACAATGCTCTTTCAACAGTCCTTCATAGTCACATGAGTACACATTAGGATCTAGGCATAGTTATCTGTAGGCAAGCATATCAAACGTAAGCCACATTTTGTCAGTTGTCATCATCAAGTGACAGGAATGTATAAATGAAATTTCAATACACAAACGTTTTTCTTAATCGCAGTTAACCACAGTTTACTTATTGAAATTGAAAAAAGGTCATCATTAGAGATGCGTGGTAGGAATCATTTTGCAAAAGTATTTGGAAATGTCAACTGAAACTAGACGAAATTGAACAAGGTTTACATGTTACACAAGTTTTCCAATAAAAGGTGAAAAGAGTTCATATCAGTCAGTTGTCTTAAAGTTAAATATCAGAAACTGCGTAGGGTAGCAAGTTTCAGGTGTTTTTTCACATGTTGAGATTTCATTAACTGCCAAACAATGTGAGACAATACAGCTTACGAAGGAAATGAAGTGGTAGAAAAATTCAGTCACTTCATCTCATATCCTGCAACTGGGTTTCAGTGCTGGTCGGTTTTGAAGCATTATATTTCGTTTGATGAGTACAAAGATGTATATCAAACAGTTAAACATATTTACTCAAGCCATGAAAGAAATCCTGCATTTTGTCAGTTTATGCCCTAACAAGCGTATATTTTCTCGATACCATATAAGGAATGAAAGACTACCTAATGAAACGTCAGTACTTGAGAAGGAGAAGACAAGTTGACTAACCTTTTATCAGTACACTTATACTAAGCCTTGATAAGAAATCCAAACAGCGAAAATCTCTAGTAGATGCCAATACTTGTCTTTGGTCAGTTAACATTTCTGAGCAAGCTACTGCAAAACTCCCCAAGTCAAACTTACGAATATCAAATAAGTATGATATACTTGTTTGTAACCATCTTCAAAGTCTAATTACCACGTGCTGGTTAATGGCTTTGAATTATTGATATATAACTAACAGTATGGCCACCAAATGATATAGGTAGGTATTTATGGGATACAGAATCACAAGAAGTAAGGAAGTTAATGCGATCTGTCTTCATCTAGGTATAAAACCTTCATGGTCTTCCCAAGTATACACCAAAATTTGCGACAATACTAACAAATTCACCTGCGTAACCATATGATTAGGTAATCAACTTTTCAGTATTAAGCCATGAGCTTTCGTATCACAGTTTGAGCAGTTGGATAGGATCACTAGTTAATACACAATTCTTTTCAAGGAGCCTATACATGATTGCTAAACTGCATCAGTCAAGAGCATAATTTAGTCCTTGCAAGCAAACTTCATATATTTCCTGGTTAAATGCGATTTCTGATACCAGCTGCTTATGATTAGATGATGAGGCGCAGCTTATACTTCCCCATAGGTTAACACTGCAAATGATGTATTATGAAAATCTTTTGTAATTTTATTGAATGAAGTAGTTCGGTACTTACCATCTTTAGGTGATAGTTTATCCGCTTTTCTGGTTTCAAACGGCAGGGTATCCTGAAGTGGATATTCGCACGTTCTACAATTTACAATCACAATTTTCATGCTTCAATAAAATGACTCACTTATTCGATATGATTTGACCATTTTCATCGTATAACGGTATAGTGACCCATCCGAGACTTAATTCAATTATTTTGTTAGTATTCTGTAACAAGGAGATGAAAAGTTACATAATTTGTGATTCTAAATTGAGTACATTTCTGAGTTTCTTTAGTAATACCTTTAATTTCCTGCTGATTTTTATACTAGACCAATTCGACCAGTCTCTCTTCACATATGGTCTTCTTGAACAGATGCTTGAAGTTTCAGTTAGATGTATTTGCTTGGTGGTGGTTAACAGTGGAATAGAGAGCGTGCGTTTGGTGATTCTGTAACCCAGTGGACAACACTAGTGTTTGAAGTGATGGGTTCTAGTTAGGAATGTTGGTGGAAATACCACCACTCCCTGGGATGCAGGTTCATCCAGCTGACAAGTCCTAAATATGACGAAACGCATATCCTCGATTCTACTGCCTGCCACTATCATCGAATTTGTGAGTTATGCACGTAAAAGCATGTATTACGTAATTACATAAGATATAATTCTAATGCTAATGACAAACTTGATTCTAGCGGATGAACAATACAACCTTGTTGACCTCAAAATGCATCAGTATAGTAAATCTATGGAGTGGTCCTGCATTCATAAGCATGATAACACTGAAACTAGATATCTATCAAAAGGGGCCAAATGGTTATGCTTTATGAAAAATACACATTACGAATTCTGCCAAATGTATTAATATATAAAATGGATTAGCTACTTTCAAAGTGCAGGCAACCAGTGAAAACATCATAAATAACAAGTAGTTGATTTCGTTCTATTAAATCAGTCATTTGAGTTTGATCCAGTGATTTAGAAAACTGTTTGAAGTTTAATATGCCCTGATTTTCAAAACATTTATGAATTATATGGATCTTGAAAAACCACTAACCCCAAATAAAAACATATGTCGGTATATTTTCAGTCAAATTCAACGTCAAATAGTAATAAGTTCAGCCAGTCTTTTTCATTTCGTAAAGAATTAAAACAAATAAATGTAAATCCAATATTTTTGGGACGGTGGGGATAAATTAGTATCCTAAGTTATAAATAACTAGCTTTAGCATAGCAAGAAACCATAAAAGTAGTGATCGCTGCTGTGACACAATGCATTGAAACTTTACGGATGCCTTTAATACTGTAAAAGGTTCGAGAGCACATGACGGCTTTTGTCCTAGTCCAGGACTTCTATACAGTGGATATTTTTTCCAATATCAAACTAGTGCATTAACTCAGCAGGAGTATCCTCAGTGTGAATCAACAATTATCCAAGTTTTGCTAATGTGAAGCAGGTCTTAATATCACAAAAGCATAAGGTCGTTGAACAGGGACAGTTCGATATGTCACCACTGACCGAAGACATTTTAGTAGGCTTATCAAAAACACAAAGACTAGCTTACGTACATTCTACTGTGAAATTAACTGGTTTTTTGGACAGCTTGTTAAGATATTTATCTCTAGACAGACGTACCGATGGTGTGCAGCCAATGGTTATTAAACGGAAGTTTCTAGTTAAAGAAACCAGGAGGATGATAATTCAAGTAACATTCGCTCTACAGACTCAGGTAATAGAAACAGAAGTTGAAAAGTGCTATTCAAAAATATAAATGAATTAAAAATCCTAATTGTTATAAAGAAAGGAAGTAGAAACTAGTGTCAGGTTTGAATCAAAATTCATTTTCTTCTATGGCAGTAAAAGATGGTCGTCGGGTATCACAAAACTACAAATCCGAAAGATGACGACGATGAAGTTCATATTCTAAAATTTGATAATGACAAGCTTGATATGATATTTTGTTTGCTGCAAAGGATAGAATTTTCAGAAAGTTAAGGATATCTAACCTTGAGGGAAAAAATAGAGTAGTGACTTTTTTTCAGATCACATTAGTTATTTTATGATAAACATTTTAGCTCCAGATTTTTATCTACGGTGTATGAAAAGATATTGATCTTACCTGTTTAGATACAACAATTGCAACTTCTATGAGGAGGCAGACATGCATATTCTGCTCATTATAACGTACAAATAAGTCAGAGGACACTTCATACGCCCTTTCAGATTTTCGAATATTCTAAAATCAATAAAAATACATTTTCAACCGGGTGGGTGATACGTTCAAGGTAGTTATCAGTGTCAAGTGCATTCCGACGAACTTCAGTCTAGTGTGTATTTATCTATAAATAATCAGTTTGAGATAAGAACATATTTATACCTGAGAAATAGTTAAGCAGAAAATGAAAACTCGATACGCCAAATACCTGAAATCTGAGGGACTTACAAAACAAAATTTTGAATGTTTATGAAATCATAATAATAAATGTAGTTTATATTACTCAGGTTACAACCTGTTTGAAACAAAATAATTGTAACATTTTGCAGGGAAGTCTAGTATGAGCTTCTTCTAATAACATATGATAAAGGTTTGAAAGAAATCAGTTCATTTCTTCAGTATTTATTAGTGTAGTAAGTATCTTTAAGTGACTCAATTTAGACTGATTTTCTCACAGTTCTGATATGAAGTCATGCCACTTAAGGTAAACCAGGTTGAGGATAGAAAAATATTTTCTTTGGAATTCTCAGTCTTAGTGGCGTTGAATTATTAATAGAGTTAATGTCAAACAATAAATTGTATCCAGATAGATTATCAAACATTGTAACAACACGTTAATGGAAAGAAATACAACAAAGTGGAAATAATACAATCTGTGTTTGTAAGAAGGAGGAAGGAGGAAGAGAGATCTACAATCATGAGATTTAGATAAAGGTAATAAGACACGAGTTTCCTCTGATGTGATTGACTTTGAAACATATCATATACAAAATGATGTCACTAGAGTTTACTAGTGTTTCGTTAAATATTCATGTTCATTTAACTTCAAGGGTAATAAAGTGTAAATAAGTAGGACTATGACTTGATATAAAAATTCAGTTTTACTTCCTATAAGAAAAATCGTACATACTGCAAGGTGTCACCACGAAATCAGCCCGTAAAGTTTGCAGCCTTTAATAAGTTCTATTGTCTGTCTACGTTAACTTTACATTTTTCATTCTTTCTCTGTGAATCAGCTTTATTTTCTCTTTAAAAATTCACTTTAGGAACAGTTGTTAAGCTTTCTATAAGAAAACACTACAGATTTTTAGAAATCCCTAGCCAAAAGCTCTGAACACATAATTATGTATGAAGCTTGATACAAATCAGCTTAGGATCTACTTGGATAATATCATTCTTTGTACTTCAGTAAAAATAAACTATCCATGTTTATGATGTTGAACTAGCTGAATAACAATGTGACAAAAGTATAAGTTTCAGAACTTATATGAAACCAGGTTTATTCTGTTTCTATATTTTAATTCGACGGACAAATAAATGACAATAAGAGAGACTGTCCTAAGGTATTATGTCTTAAAACTGGAAGTCGAAATAATGCACTAATTCTAGGTTACGATGGTGATAAAAATCAGAGCAAGTCTACTCATCATTATACACATGAATGCTACTTCATATGCATATTCTCTTCGTCAATTTTAAAAGAGCAAACACTGAAGCAGAATAGTGTGTATCCATTTTATTATTTCAGCGGTTCCCATCAGTTGCTTACAACCTAGAATATTTTCAATAAAAAATTACAACAGTATTTGCCTTAACTCATCTTAATGACTAGCAGTGAAATGAAGGATGCGCGTTTTGTCCTATATGCGACTCGTCAGCTGGATGACCATGCACCCCAGTGAATGACACTGTTCCTACTGAGACTTAAACCTAATAACCATCGCTTCAGACGCCAGAGTGTTATGCACTGGGCCACCGGGGTATAACCGCCATTTCTTGTGCAACGGGTATCAGTGGTCCTTTGATACTTATAATTTCCCATAGTTATGCAGTGTGGAGCAATTCAGCCCTTTATAACAACCGGAAATTGCAAGTATTAAACAAAATACTCAGTTCGATAAAATCAGTCAAAACGAAACAATAACAAAGAGAAGTAAAGAAACTGTCGGAAATGAAATAGTCAAAATCTCATCCATACAATGATACCAATATATATATATGCGACTGGACAAAATTTCTTGAAAAGACTTTATGTGACAGGAAGAAGACAAAAACTGTGTAATTTAGAACAAGAAACTACAAAAGTCAATGAGTAGACGAGTTAGTATTGATCGGAAAACAAAACGTAATACAACATAATGATTAGAACTCAGTAATCAGAAAAAAAAATAATTCAAATCTTGTTTTCGCTGAAGCCACTGCAGTCAAACTTCTAAAATCAAATTCGTGCGTAAAAGGATTCTGTCGTCAATCTTCAACTACCCTGGTAAACTAATTTATAAACCTTCCACTTATTTGATTACTTCATTATAGTATCATTGGATTTTCGGTTAGTTCTAAACTCTAATATTAACCAACTAAAACCTATTCATTATGTTATATTACATCTTGTTTTCTGATTAATACTAGCTCGTCTACTCATTGACTTTTATAGTTTCTTGTTCTAAATTACACAGTTTTTGTCTTCTTCCTGCCACATAAAATCTTTCCAGGAAATTTTATCCAGTAGCATATATATATGATATCATTGTATGGATGAGATTTTGACTATTTCATTTCGGACACTTTCCTTACTTTTCTTTGTTATCGTACCGTTTTGATTGACTTTACAGAACTTAAGTAGGTAAATATTTCATCGTAATTTGTTATTAAAAACATTCCAGGTTATGAACAGTTGACGAGAACAGCCAAAATAAAATGAACAATATTTGTTGTTTTCAAAGTAAACGAAACAGAAAATGCTGATAATTTAATTAACAATATGTTCACGGAGGTCAGATTCATACAACCCTCCTGTTGGCATTCAGTTTAACAATTCTGTGTGCATTGGTTTAGAAAATGAAAGACAGAAGCATGCAAACGCAAGTTACAGGATGACAAATTCTATGGTACAATGTTAATAAACCAAAAACGAATAGAAACCCACTGCATTAAAAAAAGTTGAGAAAATCGGTCTGCATAATGCATTTGAATAAAACTTTGATTCCATAATTTCACCAAGAAATGTTTGTTGAGATTCTGAATAGCTCATTTTGTAAAACAAAATCGTTACTTCATGTCTTGAAAATGGTTAGTAGACCTCCACGTGTGCATAAAACAAGTATGCCTCGCAAACCTACAATAATTTTTAAGAGCGTTTTTTGAACGGTAAGAACATAGTGTTCATAGAAGAAAAAAACGTAATCTACAAGGCTAAGTGTAGTGACTGCACGTATCACTAAGTTGGATTACTGTATAGCACAACATGTACATAAACGTAAAAAAGGTGAGTCTCAGTAACATGAAATTCCTCAAGTAAGTCGGTGTTGCCATGGATAGAAAATCTTAGTTATCTTGGAAGGCACTACTTTCAAAATAATGAGTTTTTCAAGCACATGTTCAGAATAATTTGTAATCAGAAGCCATTAATACACCCTACAGGAACCATTTCATGAAGCATTCTATTTTGGAGGGCGTTTTAAAAGAATTTTAAGAAAATACACAGAGAAAAACTGAATATTTATAAGGATATGCAAAAATATCCTACCCTTATGACTGCTGAGACTTTACTCCTATTTTCCGCTCATCTTACAGGTCCACGTCAGTCTTCAGAACTATGGACGTTCCAATACAAACCTGATGAATTTGTTCCTCGCCGGGGAGGAAACATCGGAGCAATACATCTACATGGAAACACACCCTCGCCAAAGTCTTCTGTCAACATTCCTCAAACTGGTGTTATCGTGGAACCCTGTCAACTGTCAGGCTTGAAGGCGACCACATTCGCCGGGTAATTGGTTCGTTGACCATGCTTACCTCCCCTTTATCAGATATTCATGGGGCGCGTCTCACTGAAGTCTCCATGACCTTGGACAGTAAGTGCAGCTCACTTTTAAAGAAAGATATTTCTTTAGGAGGCTTCGCCCTCAGACCTATAATGGCGTTAGATTTACCGCCGTGGTAGGCTTCCGGCTACTGATATACAGCTAAGACTAGGATCAACAATACAGGTATTCCGGACCAAATATCACCGACCTCCGCAAGATAAACTATGCACAATCTCTTAGGATTGCTTCAACAACAATGACTTCTGGAATTAGGAAGCTGGATTTACCTCACCTTCTGGTTGCACTGCTCCTAGCGCACTGGACGGATTCTTGACGGTTGGGTAAACCATCTGTGCTGTAAAGACCCACTCCACTGATTTTTCGCATGTGGATCTTTTTGATAGCTACTTCTGATGATTTGATGGTTTACTGGCTGATATTCAGCAGGGCCACGAGGAGACTCACTGTTGTACGCGACTTGGGTCGGTCCGTAATCCTTGGCACGCATAGCATCTCCGGTCTTCACAAGCTAGCAACATAAACCCAGCACAACTTAATCACGGCGTGTGGAGCTTCTTCATGTTGACACCCTGGCATGTAACCATGGGGCAGATTCATGCCTCCTAGAAAGTCATAATTGCTCCCACCAAAAATAACCATAGCCTCTTCAGCCCAAGCTAATTCAAAAAAATCAAGCAGTAACAGTGTCTTTAAATAGAGACAAAAAGAAAAGCCATTTTATCTTGCGAACAGTTTGTAAGTAAATTCAACAAAAGCATGCTAAGAGTCATAACAAATAGAGTTCGACCTGAGCTCAGTGACAATTTAAGCTGTCAATCAAATTTGAAGTACAGGATTCGGGGAAAAAGTCAGGCTCAGTAAAATAACCAGAGATGGAACAAACAAGATTTCTGACACCAAAGAAACTAAGCAGAAAGACATAAATTGGTAACCCCCGTCATCATCGAACGCCACAACAACTAATTCCACAAGTAATCATGAAAAATTTCAATTTGAGTCTGCTTTAAAAGTCGCATCTAAAGTTATGCACAGAGAACAATAAAGCTGTCAGGACATCAAATTGAGGTGCAAATGACATTGATCATGATAAGAATTTTACAACGCAACTGCGCACAACAGACAGATATCTAATTTATTACCGGTAAAACTTAGTCACATTAACATAATAAGCATCTTACATGAGGAGTAACTGTCCATGTTTTCCTTTCACGATCTGTCGATGTTATAGGTAAGTAGACGATATTACTAATAGGCTGAAATGAAAGAAAACAAGGATCATGTTCAAATACCATATACACTCAAACTTTCAGTGATTGAACTAAAATAAGGACAGGCTTAGCAGTTTCACCACTGTTCTTGTAGAACACCGATATGGCGACTTGAAGACCACCTATAAGAAATTTGTTAGACCTAAGTTTTGTTTTGGTTAAGCTCAATATCATCATTATAATATGTGGTAGGTTACGCGATAAGTGATGCCCGATGTAAGTTAACTGGAGTCTATAATTACGTTAGAAAACATCTGTCCTTGAATAAAAGGTGCAAAAGATCAAACAGATTCGTTGTACTTTAAAGTTCTAACATTTCGTGTGATGAAAAAGTTTAACGTATGCCTGGATCACAAGTATATCCCATATAATTTCTAATTGAAGTGAATGCAGTCTCTGTGACATTAACTTCCCATCTAAGCTTCCATATGATCAATAACAAAGATGAATCTTGGCAGCTTTCCATCTAGAAAATGCAACAGTCAGTTTGAATTTATCAATAAATATCAGTTACAAGACCATAAGATTCAGTAAATTAGGAATATTGGATCGATCTAGTCAAGCTTAAAATGATTAGCGTACCTAAAATTAAACAATGTATGGTATCAAATAGTAATGAAACGTTACCTTATGAAAATGGCTACACAAAAGAATATTAATAAAGGACCCAGTTAGTAAAATTTTCTTACTTGTATGAGAAGCAATGCATGACAATAACTACTCATGTGTCATCATTCCTCTTTGCAGATTTATTACTTACACAAAAATGCGCTAAGAGTGTGTTTATTACTCATATCACAGAAATCAGCGATAAAAATGGAGAATCTGTGTTGTCTCAGGATTATAAACAAGTAAAATTTGAACCACTGGTTCAGTGCTCACAATCTGGAGCCCCATTGTTAACTTTCAACTTCGTTTCAATTGCTAACAGATTCAGCCGGTTAACATGTGAATCTGGGTTGTTCATAACCGTTCAATCATAATTACATCACTTACTCAGATCTGATCTTCCACCCCAATTCATATCAAGGTGAATAAGAAAGGAGGAGTGACTGACTGATTGTTGATTATGTTACTAGAGATGGCGTTGGTGGAAACATTTGGTCATAACCTACGTCTATGACACAAAATTTCATAGTAAACGGAAACTAAATAAGGTCTAGCGCAGTGCCCTTTCCCTAAAAAAGAGACTAGACAAGTTCTATTTGCTCAAAGAAAGGTGACAAACGTAAAACAATAGCTGACTCCATTGGTAAAATATCGAGACATTTTCGGTGCGAAATTGTCTCATATTTAATTTATTTATTCAATTTCCTTATTGTCAAAGTTCAATAATTTGTTACGTTCACAAGGCCCTATAAATAAGCTATAAACTCAATACACCAAGCTGATCTTTACTTAAAGAATGATTAAAAGAACAAAGTAAACACAATACTTCACCTAAAATACACTGATTCATGACGTACTGTAGTACACATCGGTGTCGCTAAAAGCGTGGAAATACACTCTCATCTATTTAGGAAAATGTAAGTATGAGGGTTAGGCTTAAAAAGATACTAAAAAAGTTTTAAAAGCTTAACAAGTGCGTGTTAAATATACCTCGGGAGAAAAATGAATACCTTTATAGACATAAATTGAAGTGTTGAAACCACCGACTAAAATAACTTTTATTATATAATAAACCAACTGACTTTTTAAAATCTGTATTTATTACATAAGAAAGTTGATGTCTTCAATTACCCTGGTCAGAGAGGTAAAAGAGGAGCGCGTTCTAGACATTATTCAGCAGCGAATACCGGAAAGCATTCTGTGAAATAAGGAAATCGACAGATAAATTGAATTAACCGATGATTCTTCTAAGACTTCATATACCTTTTAGAAACAGTTGTTATACAGAGATTTGAGCTGGAAGTTTATAGATGATTGCTTAATTTTAACGCTTTCTCAATGAAGAATTGGCATCAGCTGATAAATTAGTTAAAACTATGACGCGCCGGAAACTGTTTCTTTCCAATTAGGGCTGAACCAAAGTGTGCACTCAAGGTCTTGTGCGGGATCAAAGCCAGTACTGTCAAGTATCCCGATGAGCAAGTTTCCATTCAGTCACTGGGTAATTATTCAACGGTCAAATGTTTCTACTTTCAGTTTGCTAAACATTTTGACCATCGTACAGTGTAGTCGATGAATATCTACTCAAATTTGTGAATTGAATGACTCCACACACTTATGACAAGAAGTTTAGGAAGTCAATCTCTAATCGGTTCATAGATGAAGAGCCATGAAGTTACAGATTCTGTGACACTTTGCAACAAAGGAGATAAAATAGAATTGGTTGACACTTTTAACCACGTTCAAGATTATTTTACTCACAATATTACATTTACTGCTGATTCCACTGCTAGCCACAATCCATCAATTATATCAAATTTGGTAAAACCCGACAATATTAAGGCATCCGAATAGAAACCTATATGTCAGTAGTGATCGGCTGATTCGGTGTAATCAGTGACAGAAATGCACAAGCTATGACAATAAAGACTGTACCATACTCATCGCACAAGAAGTGACTATTGTGATTCGATGGCCCCTTGTACAACGCTCCGAGGTTTGAAGTGATTGGTGCTGGGTTCATGTCTTAGTGGGAACAATATCACCCACTGGGAGGCATATACATCCAGCCGACAAGTCTCAAATGGGACGAAACGTGTGTCCTGGATTTCACTGCTAGCCACAATCCACCACTAAAACTATGGATTTGTTAAAACCCCAGTCTATGCCTAAACATATGTTAACCTTTTCTATTCAACCAGCCCATAGTCCTGTCATTACACTGATTTAAAGCTTTCACAGTTAATATAAAAATACAGTTTGATGGATAGCGACCTCGCCAACAGTAATTTCTATAGTCCAACGAAGTAGACATTTTGTTATTCAGTGTGGATATTTTCCAATAAAACTGCAAGTCAACGATTATTTTTACTTCAATAGAAAAGACATTTCAAGAAGAGTTAAAAACACTATCCAATGAAAATTAGCATAATCATTAAATCTGCTATAATTTGTGGTGTTATTTATCAATGCTGCTTAGCTACTATTGGGAAAAAAGAAGCTCAAATACACAATATGCTTGCTTGTAAAACTAATAGGATTCAGCTGGGACAATAAAGGGCCACTTACCTTCACACCATCAAATAAACATAGGCGAATCAGGCAGTTTAATATTGACAGATCTGCAGATTTGAAAGGGTTATACGAATTTACTTTTTGACTAAACATACTTGACTCTTCAAGTAGTGAAAGCTGACTGATTTTCTGGATTGTGATAATTTTTTGCCAACATGGTTGACGCCGTGTAATCTAAAGTAACACAATAGAACATTATATGTGTACACAACAATCATAATTTTATGGCAATTCATTCCATTCAATCGATAATATATTGCATATTTAATATCTGCCACACTAAAATCATCTTAGACATTATGTTTAGCCTTTAAGGTGACATAACATTTCACATCTGTTATTCTCTATCTCGCTATAATATTCATACGATTTTCACCCCACTTGAATATAAGTCATCACTACATAATTATTATTTGACCATTAGTAAACAAACATACACATTCATGCCCCAGTAAATGCACAAAAATGAATCAGTATCTGTAGATTTTGTCTCCTTGTTTCGTAATCGCTCTTTCAATATTGATTTCATTGCACAACCAACACAATAGACTGATTACCATTTTACCATTCCATCCTATTTGATTTCCCATAACACTGACTTTTAATATAGTAATAATTGTGAACAATACCTTATTTCGGCTATTGTATTTCACTTATTATTATGGATTTATAACTGCAGAGCCTGAAGAAGTTGTTGAAAACAAATGTTCGCCTAAATTATTCCTGTTCTGAGTAATCTATGGGGATCTTTAAATTACTAAGGTAAAAAGTAAATTACCTCAAAGTAACCATTAATGATGATACTTAAAACGCATAATTGTTATGCGTGTTCAGTAAATCTGCTGAAATAGTACACTGTGAATTCTCTATTATATCAAAAATGCTACTTGAAACGAAAAAGTTAACCCATTCCACCCCTGCATATGTCAAAAATTGTGTGGAATAGCCCTGACGCAAAAGGTGTGCCACAGAGCTTTGTTTACCAAAACACTGACAGTGCTGTACTGAAAGTTTGAGACAAGTTATGTTCAGAACATAGTAAACTATTATCTTGACAAATTTGTTTTTGGACTTTACCTTTTTACCATCAACGTCCAGAAGAAGATCTGTAAAAATGAGATGTGAGCTTCCAAGTTTCGGAGATAGAAACTTCTGATAGTTATGCGATTTTAGCCCTACAGTTGAAAAGGAAAGTAATTAATTCAATAGGTGATGAAAATCTTTCAAGAAATATTGTTACCTTTGTCTAGGAATTTCTCCAGCTTTAAGTCATATCAATATTTATCTGAGCTGCTGTGATCAATTTTTGAGAAAATCGCTAGGAATACCCAACCACTTATTCTCAGCGTGTTGAAGATCACAATCACGTAGACTGCACCTTCCTACACGGATTAGATCAACGGTCAGTGGCATCATGACTGACACTGACTGAGAAAATTAACACAGTGCATTGCACATAGATGCATCGGCTCATCACTACACTTTACAGAAGTACACAAAGAACAGGTGGATAGGAAAAAATAGTGCTATAAAAGTTGACAAAGTTGTGTGAGAGAATAAACAATATGAAGATGAAGGCTAGTGCAAATATTCAAGCCTCAGGAAATGCCAAGGAGTGAATACATCTGCGCCACTGTGACCGATTTTAGGCTTTATCACCAAGAGTCCTCAACTACTAAAGTGATGTTGTTTGGATACGGCCACTCTTAGCTTCGTTTCAATCTTATCCTATTTCACTCAACAATGCTGATCGAAGAAAGCTGTGGTTTCTCATTTGCAGCGCATATATTTTAGTTACCCCAGTTGATTAGGGATCACAGCTTCATCGGTTGAACTACCTTACTGTCTGTGACTATGTGCCCAAACTCAGACTGCTCACTTAGTGGTTCGACTTCAGTATGCATTTAATGTCATGAATCTTATGTTTTGTAAGAACAAATATTTTGTTCTAGATTCTTAAAATGTTCTGTGTTGCTTTTGAAGTCTTTTTGCCCATTGAGTTCTCTAATATTTACAAGTAATCCTGAATAACATTCAGTTACTATATAACTGTCATCTACCTAAGAATATCTGTTTCTTCAATTATTACTTGTGGCAAATGAAAAATCGTTGTACTGTCAAAGAATTCTTGACTGGGATACATCAGTGATACTATAGTTAAGAACATTATTCTCTTGATTAACAATATATCAAGTGAAGACAATTTCGATATATGATCTTGTGTTACTAGATATGCTCAACCGTAATAATCTCACAGCGTTTAATTTCAAGGACTCAGTCCATCGAAGAAGGATTTCTGCAAGTAGGCTTGTACATCATTCTGTGATTACTTCATAAAGTGTGGATGAACATATTCAGTATCAATACATACATATCGTGCTCTTAAAATTACCTAGCAATTACTACAAACAGCTTTTTCCCGAAATTTGCGGAATTCTTTAGCATTAATGAAAGACTTTAATGTTAAATGCTATTTGTGTACAGAATCATGACCAGTACCGAGTCATATCAGAAACTCGATGTGAGGTATAATATTCATAACGTTGTTTTCATCAGTTGGTAAACTACTGAAAACCAAGGGGTACTGAACAGCTCCTTTCCTGAGTATGGGACTTCTCAGCCACTTATGTAGTATAAAGATACTACTAAACTCGCCTGGTTAACTAGTTCACTAGATGCTAATCAGTCCTAAGCCCCGATAAACAGGTAAGGTTGGGTATAGGGCTAGCAACCCCACCCCCCAAAATCAATACAATCTCTAAGAAAACTGCAAAGCACATAGAAAATATAAAAAGTAAAAATAAACTTATTCATCACCGGAATCACAGGGGAGACGAAATGACGCCGGTTGCTGAAAGCCTTCACGAAACCAATCGACCGATGTGACTTCTCTTCTTTTCTCTCGATGAAAGCGAAAGTATCAAATGGAGAAATAAAAATGTCCACACAATGTTTGAAGCTGGCTGGCAAGACTGCCCACATTGCAAAACAGATAAGAAGGTACAGCATAGAAGTGCTGGGAATCTGCAAAACCAGATAGAATCAAAGTGGACTCTCCTAACTGTCAACATCACAGTCAATAATCTACTCCGATATTGTCACACAGACAACAACTACATGCACACTCACTTTTCCAGTGGCTATCATGATATCGCAAACACCATCGAAGACTTTCTCTCGTGCAGTGGGAACCAATCTCCTCCTGCATGATCAGAATCATGAAAGCAAGATGGATTCAACTCAAAGGGAACGAAAGTCACAATCACACAATGCTACGCCACGCTACACTACACTACACTACACTACGCACATACAAATAATGCAGATCAAGAGAAGAATGAGGAATTCTACGGACAACTACAATCAGTGTTGGACAAGACCCCACCACAGATGGCGACATCAGAATTCACCCCAATGGGTGACATGAATGCCAAACTGGGAGTGGACAACACAGGGAGAGAACCAATCATGCATGGGTCGAGAAGCACTCGGTGAAATGGACAAGAATGGAGAACTGTTTGCAGACTTCTGCGCATTTAATGACTTGGTGATCAGAGGTGGTGTGTACAAGCACAAGGATATTCAAAAGGCAGCGACATGGATTTGATTTCACCAGACACCACGACACACTACACTGAAAATCAGATCGACTTCATCTCAATGTGAAGAAAGTGGAGATAGAGATGCAGCCAGCCTACTGAACACAAGATCAGATGAAGAAGGCGTGCATGTGTAAATTCACACCACTCACTATCTATCCAGTGCAAGGAACCTATCTTCAAAATCAAGTCGAAAGCCTTCGCAGGAGTTGGTGATAGACGACCACAGTTCAAGTTAAACACCAGAACAGAAACTGAACTGAAGGACGAAACTACAAAGGACATCTTCACGTCAGCTATCAGGAAAAAGGGAGACAAGCAACATCCCAGAAGAAACCTGTGTGGAAAAACACTGGAACTCTTTGGAAGGGATATGGAAAGAGACCTGCATAGGCGTATTGGGAAAGAATGAAGGAAGAAGACAAGGAATGGATCTCCACGGACACATGGAAGCTAACAGAGCAGGGAGAGGAAGATGGTGAAGCAGAAGATGAACCAGTGCAGTGCAGTGCAGGGATGAACAACGGAGGGAGGATCTGAACACAACCTATAAAACACTACACTGGACGAAGAAGTGAAGAAGAGTGCGCGAAAAGACAAAGACACTTCTACGACACACTTACAAGTGAAACAGAACAGGCTGCAGGTAGTAGAGACAGAGATCTGACATCACTATATCAAACAATCAGGTCACAATCTCGGAGGAGAGAGATCAACGCAGATGAAACCAATGAAAGATATCGACGGAAACCTAGTTAGCAAAGGGGAGAAATAAAGGAAACGATAGGCTGGTCACTTCAAAAAGCTCTATAATCAACCACCACCACCGCCTGCAACTCGTCCAGAAATACCAGTAGCAGCCCAGCCACAGAGCTATCAGTGAACACAGGCTCTCCGATGAAAGCTGAAGTCCGCAACGCCATAAAACTGCTGAAATCCGGGAAAGCAGCAGAACCAGATGGGATTCCGCCAAAGGCACTGAAAGCAGGTGCAGAGACAACAGTGGACATGCTCACACCACCACTGTGGACGGTTTGGAATGAAGGGAAGGTACCTACCTGTCAACTGATTGGAAGCAGGACTACCTTGTCAAACTTCCAGATAAGTGTGGCCTAAGTATTTGCAAGCACTGGCACTGAATCATGCTCTACCTATGTCCACCCCAAGCAAAGTATTAAGCCACGCCATCTTAGAGAGACCAAAACAGGCTCTGGACTCAAAATTGCAACCGGAACAGGCTGGATTCATGAAAAATAAACCATGTGCGTATCAAGTTGCAACGCTACTCTACGCATCATCATAGAACAGAGCACAGAATGACTGTAACCTATCCACCTAACCTCAACTTCACCGATTTTGAAAAGACCTTCGACAGCGTCGACTGACAAGTAATTTGACAGGCAGCTGCTTCAACACTACGGTTTTAGTGCCACAAACCTTTATCAACCTCATCCAACGGCCATATGACTACGCCACATGCCAAGTGATTCACAATGGAAAGCTTAGCGATACCTTTGAAGTGAAGACAGAAGGAAGACGAGGTTGCCACCTACCGTCACCCATGATCTTCCTGACCGGGGTGGACTGGATTGTGCAACAAACTGTGAGAATCGAGAGGATGGGTATACACCAGATGGACCGATGAAAAGACCCCAGAAGAAGATTTGGATTTCGCCAACCATGATCACTTATGTCTAATGTCTTGTTGCACAAACTCAGTGATCTACAATTGGAAACAAACGAGTTGACAGAAGAGGCAGGGCAGCGAAGATGGGACTTCAAGTGAATGTAGAGAAGACAAAGGTGATGAAGACACCTAACCAACAAGAATAACAAACACCAATCACCATCAACGGGAGAAACCTAAAGTAACTAATCTCTTTCACCTACCCACTTACCTAGGCAGCATCGTTTCAACTACAGTAGGCAAAGGCACAGATGGGAACGTCAAAGTCTGGATCAAAGAGACAGCGAAACAGGTCTTCCTTCATTAATCTGAAATCAGTGTGGAGATCCACTTCACCCCACTCCACTCCACTCCACTCCACTCCACTCCACTCAGCATAAAGAACAAGATCCGGATTTTCAACACTAATGTCAATCAAGTCAGTGCCTCTGTGTGATGGTTGAGAGATTGGGTGCGTTATGAAAAGCATTTTCAACAAACCGCAGACATTCATCATGGACAGTTGCCGCCCACGCTCACTCGATACTGAAGATCAGGTGGCCAGAAAGCATAAGTAACAAGAAACTCTGGCTGGCTGGCTGGCTGGCTGGCTGGCTGGCTGGCTGGCTGGCTGGCTGGCTGGCTGGCTGGCTGGCTGGCTGGCTGGCTGGCTGGCTGGCTGGCTGGCTGGCTGGCTGGCTGGCTGGCTGGCTGGCTGGCTGGCTGGCTGGCTGGCTGGCTGGCTGGCTGGCTGGCTGGCTGGCAAGGAACCAAGGAGGAACCCATCGCGCAACAAATCTGCAGAAGAAAGTGGAGATCGATTGGATTGGACATACACTGGGCAGGCAGACCGTCTGGGGACATCACTTGCCAGGTCCTTGAGTGGAACCCGAATGGCAAACGACGAGTT